TTTTTAAAGATATAAGCTCATCCTGATGTTATACTCATCGAGACCTTTCGTTTGAATACCCACATCAATTTTTCATATATTTTATATATTTATGTATATATGAAATATATATCAAAAATGCATGTGGGTACTCAAATGGAAGCTTTTGATGAGTATAACTTCAGGATGAGCTTATATCTTTAAAAATGTCAATAGTGTTTAAAATACAAGGTAATTTCTCAATTATGTATCTAGATATACATTTTCGAATACAGTTTAAATATTTATCATCATTAATTGACTTATGGCACAAATTCAAGTCAAGATTTATATTTCCAGGCTTCAACAATCGATGGAAGAAGAAAAGGCGCGTGCTTATTTTGCCAGGAGTATTTTATGGATCTGTATCTTCTCGCGGAATTAAAAACAATCTCCTTAAAAGTAACGACAGTTGACATGCAAAAGCCCCCTCCAGACTTTCGCACCAACTTCCAGGCGACTCCGCCGCCCATTTTGATCGACGGAGGCGACGCCATTTTGGAGAACGAGAAAATTGAGCGACATATTATGAAGAATATTCCCGGGGGACATAATCTTTTCATCCAGGACAAAGAAGTCGCTACTCTTGTGGAAAATCTCTTCAGTGTAAGACTGAATTTAATATTGATAATTTTAATTATTAATTTTGAATTAACTAATGAGAATATTTTTGCAGAAACTAAAGCTGCTGTTACTTAACGCAAAGGAGAAGGACAAGGACCCAAAATCGTCTTCTTTAATGGCCCATTTACGGAAAATAGATGAGCACTTGGGCCGCAAGGGGACGCGTTTTCTCACAGGTGACACCATGTGTTGCTTCGATTGCGAGCTGATGCCCCGCTTGCAGCACATCCGGGTGGCAGGAAAGTACTTCGCTGACTTTGAAATTCCCGAGACATTAGTGCATCTGTGGCGATACATGCATCACATGTACAGACTCGATGCATTCTTGCAGAGCTGTCCCGCAGATCAGGATATTATTAATCATTATAAGCTGCAACAGGTGTGTAAATACGTCTTTAAAACATCACATGTAATAAGTGATAATGATAACACTTTTTTTTACTCAAGAAATAGAACAAGGTTTAATTAATATTTAAATTATGGTCTTTTTTTAAAAGGCCTTCAAATTTTTTATTTTTAATTACAAAAAACTCAGATTATTTTTATTAAATATTAAATCTTAGTAATTATTTCTTCCCGTAAAAAAGTTGTATGCAATGTTAAAAAAATTTATTTATTTTTTATTTTTTCTCTTAGAAAAAAATTTTTGTCGCAAAATATCAATGAAGATTTTTAATGTATATAATTAGCACAGTAGGAAGATATTATTTGTTTATATTTACATTGAAATTTTGGTGAAAAATTTGAATCTCACTTTCACAACAGACTTAAAAAATTCTTTTTACAGTCAAGTAAAACATATATTTTTTTCAAGAAAATTAAAAATTTCGGTCTTCAAAAAAAGTCAAAATTTGAGTTGAAATGTAAGAAAAAAAAAAAACGGGGAAGAAGAAAAAAAAATTTTGTTTTTTTTTGGAAACTAAATTTAAAGGTGAAGAAAATAGCCACCGGCAAATCAGAATTTAATTAGGAGATAAATTTCTAAAAATTATCTCATCGTTATTTTCACATGATTTTCAAAAATTCATATCTTCAAGGCTTTTGAAAATTAAGGGCTCAAAATTTAAGATTAGGTGTCTTTTTATACGTACACAAACATACAAAAAATTCAACTTGATCAAAAAATATGATTTTTTTAAATTAGGTGATTTTGTACGGAATGACCCATATATATTTTCAAACTCTTAATTAACTTTTTTTTTTTAATAAATTTCTTCTGCAAAAAAAACTAACCTATAATTATCAACAAAACTAACTAGTCCGCCATTTTGAATTAAATTACCACCTCAAATTTTATTTCTTCTCTACTATCTAAAGTATTACCACTAAAAACTTGAAGTAAATTTTTTTTTAATTTACATAATGGCAAGATTGTAATAATATCTTCATTCAAAATAAAATTCAAACTATTTTTAATTAAAATTGTCATTAAATTGCAATACAATTACAAAAAAAATTCCCCAGATGGCGCGACATGTGAAGAACTAATTCCATGTCTTTATTAGTTATTTTAAAATTGCTGTTTAATTAAAAAAAAATATATATTTTTAGATATATTTACAAACTTTTAATTAATTCTTTTCTTCATTAATAAATTATAAAAAAAAACTAACCTCTACTTAGCTATCAACAACTAGTCCGCCATTTTGAATTGAATTTCCACCTCAACTTTTATTTCTTCTCTCCCATCTAAAGTATTACCACTAAAAACTTGGAATAAATTTTTTTTTAATTTACATAATGGCAAGATTGTAATAATATCTTCATTTAAAAATAAAATTCAACTATTTTTAACTAAACTCATCATTAATTTTTAGTACAATTACATTAAAAATTCACCAGATGGCGCTACATTAAAAAAAACTAATTCCATGTCTTTATTGGTTATTTAAAACTTCCTGTTTAATTAAAAATCCAGAAAAGAAGTAATTACAAGAACAATTGACATTTATTCAAATGAATTCTAAGATGTTATTCAATCTTTATTATCATTCAAGGCTTCAACAACGGACTATTAATTCCATTACTGTAATTTTATAATACTTGGTCATCATTAGACAAATACGGTCACTAATATATTTATAAACATAAAATTAAATTTATTTGATAATAAATCTGTCACTATAAATAATTACTAATTTATATTTAATAAAAATAATTATAAATAAAATAATTATTTTGCAGAGCATGAAGATGAAAAAACACGAGGAACTCGAGACTCCGACTTTCACCACGAGCATCCCCATTGAGGTCAACGACGACTAATTTTTTTCTTCTTTATGATTATCCACGCCCGTGACTTTGATTTATTAAAAAGGTTTATAATTATTTTAAACAAAGAAGAAAATAATTTAAAATTTATAATTAAAAGCCTATGAGCCACGAGCTTTTTATATTAATTATTATTATTATTATGGTTAAATAATATATTGCGAGTATGTTATCTATTTAATATTAAATCTTTAAATCTTTTCTATTAATAAGGAAGAAAAACTAAATTTTTTAAACGAACTTTTGTAAACTAAAAAATTCAGTAGTTTAAATTTTCGTCATTTATATTAATTAATTAATTAAATATTATTATTATTATTATTATTATTATTATTATTATTATGGCTATTTATGTTCATTTAATTTGTTAGCTATGTATTGATTTAATACATAGTAGTTATTATTGTAAAACCGCTATTGTACGTAATAAATACAGAGACACGGGAATCTCGACAATCGTGTCTCTACATCAGAATTATTTGTACTTTTTTTTTTTTTTTTTATAATTTTTATTATGTAATTTTTAGTGAAAA